CACCTGCTGCTGGAGCTTGGTGACCTCTTGTCTTGAAGGATTTTGCTTGGAGAACAGCTGCATTGTTGTTAGGGCGGCAGAAGGTCCTGGGACTGTGGAGAAAGGGTTTAAACCCGTCAATCACTTAAAAGAGATTCTCTACTGGTAATTGTAGATCAAGCCTATTTATAAATGAAGTAACGTGTTTTGCTCACTTCTGATAAATCCTGCAAGCTACATGGTCTAGTGGATTAACTGCAAAGCTTGTTTAGCTATAAATAAATTCTGAATTCTAATTCTCATGTACATGTAACAGTTTGTGGACTACTGGCAAATAAGGAGGTCATAAAAATAAAAATGAGAAAACATTTTAGAAGCTAATACAGTAAGAAAATACTCGTAAAGCCAGAAAAAGTTATCTCTCTCTCTCTCTCTATATATATATATATGCCTGTTTACCTTATTTTTATATGAGCAAAATGTCCAATTTAGAAGTAGAGAGCCATCCTTTTTAAGTTCTCTGCATTTAGTTATATACAAAGGCTTCATCACTAATCAAAATAGAAATGTCATCAAAAAATGATTTAAAATAGAATCTTCTGTCTTGTGTGATACTGACAGAAGTTGTGCTTTAAAGGCACAGAAGGGACACAAAGTATGCACAGCCTCTTGCCATGCCTTCTTCCAATTCTCTCTCCTTTACACACACACACACACTCACTCACTCTCTCTCTCTCTCTGATGACAATTCCTGACACTGTTAAGAAGGCTCCAGAACTACTGTGTCTTAATAAACAATTAGGATTTGACAAGTGAGTATGAAGAACATACACTCATTACTGTGAACAAATAACCCAATTTTAAAAAACCCTATTGAGTGATGTTTTATAAAATGAGATGGATTCACTGTATATAACTAAATCTATCACGCTACATTTCTCCTTGTACATACTTAAAGCCTTTTGACAGATTTGTTCTTTTTTGCTCTGCTTATACACTTTGTTCTCATACAAAGTGCAGATCAGTGTTTACCTTGTGTGAAGTCTCAATCAGTCATAAGTGGATATTTTCCCTCCTTAAGAATTTGTCTCATTAATTGTCTGACATTTCTTTGGACACAGTTTTAAAACAGTGTTTTTGTCCATGATAACTTAAGTTTGGGTCTGTGTATGCCTTCTTTAATAAAACAGTTAAGATCAATGAGGGAAGAAGCACGTATTAACTTCTCTTTAGTCCGCATAGGACATAGGACAGTGCTATGCATATATAACAGGCACTCAATAAATACAGAAACATCAATGCTGAGATGCAGTTGGCTTTCTTGCTCAATTACAGAAAGGCATTCAGTAAACCTACTGAGTTGTACAGGGAGCTAACTATTCCAAGTAAAGCAAATATTTCTGTCCTAAATTATTTTTAAGAGTTAAGGATACCAGACCAGTTAATGTCTGAATAGGTAAGTGCACCGATCTCTAGAACCCTACCTCTCTGTAAAATGGCTAACACAGAAAAAGTGACAGTTCAAAACTGCCTTCTGCACTCCATGTTTTAAAGCTGTAGTCAGCCAGAGTTTGAAGGTTCAAATAATTCACTGGATAGTTTCATAGTTTTTTTCTGCTGCCAGTTTTATCAGATATATGTAATTCTACTTAAAAATGGAATGTTATTAACTAATCAGAATATATAAAAAAATTACATGTATATCCTCTTCTGCCCAGAAATTCCACCAATAATGTATTTATTGTGAATCAATAATTGTAAGTGCAAATATTTAGTCACAGAGGGTTGTTTTCATTGTAATTCAAATATGGAAAAAAGGCAACACATTGTTGCTTAATGTACCAAAGAGTAAGAGATTGGTTACCTAACCTATACTCTGTACTCATTAGAAATGACTGACCCAGGAAGGTTCTAGATATACTGCTAAGTGGATAAAAGCAAGTCAAAAAGTGGTATGCGAATGTAAATGATAAAGGGACATAAACAAGAGATACCTGGGGGAGAACCCATGAGTCTTCCGGACACGTCTGATCCTGGTAATTTTCTCTTTAGAATGGGAACAATCTTCTCATCAAAGTACTCCATTGCCATTGATGAAATGTCCCTTAACTCTTGAAGTACTTCATGAGCTCGCTGAGGGGCTCTGGTAGAATTGACATATCTCAGTACACGGTAAATTTCATCAATCACCTAAAACGATGAATTTGCAATAGCACTTGAGATTATTATTTTTAAAAAAAGGAAACAGGGTGTGGAGAGGTGGGAACTGTCATATATTGTTTGTGGGATTGTAAAATGATACAACCAGTCTGGAAGACACGTTGGTATTTCCTCAAAAAGTTGAACACAGAAACTCCCCATGACCTAGCTATTCCACTAAAAGGAATATACCCCAAGAAATCAGAACTGAGACACAGAGATCTGTACACCAATGTTCATAGCAGCAATATTTACCATTTCAAAAACATGGAAACAGCCCAAGTGTCCAACTACAACTGAATGGATTGGGAAATTATAGTACATTCAGACAATGGAATACTATGCAACACTCAGGAGCAACAATTTAAAAAAATACTATATAACTTGGGAGAGACTAGAGAGCATTATACTGAGCGAACGAACTCAGTCTCATAAGGACAAATACTACATAAGACCATTAGTGTAAAAATAGAAGGATAAGTAGTAAAACATGTATAAGGACCCAAGGAGGGGTGGAAGCAAATGAGTGAGGATGAGTAGGGGCAAAACCACAGGGTTTTCCAGTTTGGTGTATGGAGGGAGGGGATGAAGGAAATGGGAAGGATGAAGTGGACACCTGAAAAGACTGGATAATGATGGGCAAGTTGCAATGGTGATTAACTTTATATTGTATGAAACACAGTATGTATGAATAATAGTGTGAACAACATGTACAGGAACTTTGTAAGCAAACCAATATAAACTTAAAAAAATGCTAAGAAAGGAAAAGAAACCAACTAAAAAGGGTGCTTGCTTTTAATTGCTGTGATGACCTCCAGGCTGACTGAACTCATGTCCTGGAAACAGGTAACATTACCATCTGCATCCTGGCTTGTTATAATCATCTACACTTGTCATATACATTAAATACCTTCTATGCACCAGAGTCCAGTGGCATAGTCCACAGGAGTTATGCTGTAAACGTAAAGACACTGCTTCTCTAGAAGTATGAATCCCTCTAGAAGTTTGAATCCACCAGCAACTCCTCAGAGAAAGATGGACAATCTCCTCTCCTGTGCTTAAGACTCTGAAACCTGATGGAGGGTCAGCTATGAATTGGTTCCCACTTGATACAATGAGTTTAAGAGCTGGTTTTCAACCTCCTTTTTTTGCTATTGTTTTACTTTTATACACCAGGGGCTGTGCTGGGGCTAACTAGACAATACTGTATGGCTCCTGTTCTCAGTAAAACCGGAGACACACATGTACAAAGACATGGTAGAAAAGAAGAGGGCCATACAAACTGCTAAAGAACAGAGGACTTATATATGAAACAAAGCCCTGTGAGGAGGTAGGGGCACCTGTCCGGTCAATGTACCCACTTTGCTCTAGCTGTACCTGCTCCACCCAGCCCCAAGAGTTTGGCCTGATTTTCTCCTAAATGTTGCTACCATCTGCTTCTCCCTTGAGATTCCTTTATCTCAAAGACTTGCTACAGAGCAGAATGAGGGCTGCTCAGATACTTCCTTTTTATGAAAGAGTATTAAGAAAACCCTTTAATGATAGTTGCAATGGGAAATCTAAAGTGCAACTCACAGAATGAAGAAATTCTGATCCCTACCTTTCCTGCTTATATGGTAATGGAATGCTCCTTAGTCTCTTGTGCTCTCAGCTTTTTATCCCTGTGAAGTGATTTTTAGTATTTTCCAAGGCTTCAGGAGAGCTCTGAAGAGTACTTTGGGAGAGCCAAGTAATATCAATAATGCAAGGCCCCAAAGATTTACAGCCTGTATGATATCTATTCCAACGTGTCCTTGCCACACCAACATCGCAATCCTTGAATCCCACTTCTTTTCTAGACCCTGCATTTACTTAGCTAGCTGCTGGCTCTGGATCACTCTTATACTCTGCTTTGTCTTTTCCTTTACACAAGCTGCTGAAAGGTGCCAAAGAAACAAATCCTGCAGAACAGCAGTATCACAAGATAAGTCATGACGTGTTCTAGACTCTCAGTATAATGTCATCCATGTCAGTCTACTGTATGTACCTAATAAAAAGTGGTAAATTGACTGTCAGCTAAGGAAGCAAAGTTCAACCAGCCACTTTCAATGGACTCAACCTCTCATGTCGAAAATACTCACTCCCTCAAGGATCAACCCAGACGTTTGTCTTCCTGAGGACCTATAAGTAGGTCCTCCAATTACCAAGAGAAGGGGGGGGGGGAGGAATGTAAGAGTCAAGATTTGTTATGTATCTCTGGTCTGGCGATCTTAAGTCCTTTGTCCTTGTTTTTCTTGAGTTCACTTCCTGAAAGGACCTCAGCAACAAAGAAGTGACTCTAACTCCTCCTGTATGAACCTTACTCAGAGTATGCCAAATATTCGTGCCCTTGCTAATAAGCCAGCTTATTTTCAAATTAGCCAATTGCTATGCACCACCTCCATCTTACCTCATCTTCCTGCCCCTCACTCAGTCTTTGCCACTCCCAGCACCAATAAAAACCCTTGTCTCGAAGGGCTGGGGGTGAGAGCTTGTAATAAAATCCCTCATGTTCTTGCATCGAGGGGGGAAAAAAAAGGTGGTAAACTGAAACTATGTCCCTATGGTGAATCTGAGAAGACTTCAAAGAAGCTATGCCCAAGGGCCTGGAAAGATGAACAGGAGCTAGCTTGGTGAATGTTCTGTTATATGCCCTTGAGTCAATTCTATCCCACAGTGACCCTACAGGACAAAACAGAATAGCCTCATGGGACTTCCTAGTTTTACGGGAGTAGACAGCAGATCTTTTCTCATTCAGAGGCTGGGAAGATAGGAACAGCCAACTTTAAGGTTATTTGCTAAGCACTCTACCATTACACTGCCAGACTGTTTGAGGTATATGTAGGCAGGTATTATGGGAGATAAGATCCACTGATTTTGATTTACATGGACACGTAGGTGGTAGTCACCAGTTGTTACTACGTGCCATCAAAGTGACTCAAAGCTTGCCTTCCATCAGGTTTTCAGAGGTAGTTAAGTACACAGGAGGAGACTGCCCAACTTTCTTCCACAAAGTAGCTGGTGGATTTGAGCCACATGCCTTTGAGTTGGCAGCACAGCTCATTACCACTAGGCCACCAGTGCTCCATAGGCAGCTGGAAATACATATCAGTTCAGATCAGGAGTTTAGCGGGGGGAGACATAGATGGTGGTGTGAGCAGCCAATGGAGGAAGAGAGGCTTCAAGACTGCCAAGCAATAATATTCATAATCATTTTTCACAGTCAGTAACATTTACTTCTAACATTATGAGATTGTCAATTCACTTTAAAATTATTTTATTTTGCAATAATTAGTTAGAAAAATACATTGTTGGGAACTATTACATTTACTAAAAAAAGGAAGAAAAGAGTACTTTTCCCTTGGGCTAAATTTAATTATCTAATCATACATTGACTTGTAGGATAAACAATGACAATTTACTGAATTCTTACTAGGCACTAGTCACCTTTCCAAGCATGAGGGTAAATACTGCGAGTAAGATTAACAAAATCCTTCTTCTCATGAAGCTAAAGTAAAAAAGTAATTTAAAATAGTATCATGAATATTAAAAAAAGAGGCAAAGGGGATAACATCAGGCAGGGTAGTCAGGTTTCTTTGAGATACTGAAAAGTTCAAGGTCACAGAAGCTTGACTTGCTCAAGTTTATGTGCTAGAAATAGTTCACACACAAGCAGGTACACACCTGTACTCTCCATACAGCGAATATTTATGTAAGCTCTAACACTGGTGGCATAGGACACAGGGTGGCTGATGTGCTGCTCACCATAGACTGCACCTCTCTACAGGTTCAAATCCAGCAGAGACTTTGGGGGAGAAAGATGGGCACTCTCCTTCCAATGGAAAACCCACTGGAGGGTCACCCTGAGTCAGTTCTGACTTCACAGCAAAGAGTGAGCAGAAGGCCAAAGGCTTGAAATTATGTTAGCAGGTATATACAATTAAAAATGTTTTAATAGATATTAAGTAGCGTTATTGTTTTTTAAAAAACGTTCTTCAAAATGACTACAGACTAGTGTTTATCCAAGTTTTTAGTGTGTCATAAGTAAGAAGAGCTAACATAAAAAGTACAAAGTGACATTAACTGTTTGAACTAAAACAAGTCTCTTTATGTCCAGAGTGTTTTGCACACCAAGTTGTTTTTGTTTTAGCATTATCAATGCAATATTTTAATCTACATATTTTTCTTGTACTTACAGAAAATGGAAAAGGCAATGAATTGGAGGTACGCACTGATGTAAGGATAAATATTAGCATTTTAATGCATACATTCCTTTCTACGTAATTTTTTCTTTAATATGCCCTAGGAATGTTAACAGCTTTGACCACAATGCCAGGCATCAAGCTAGAATGAACAAGGGACTCAGCCTGTTCTGCCCCTCATTGATATAAGTGCTTACTTAAGATATAAACGCCAGAGAGGAAGGTGGAATGCCACTGAGTCAGAAATGACTCATAGGAGACCATCTACTGGGTTTTTGGAGGGTTCCTATCTCATATCAGATGATCATCCTTCTTCCATGGAAATGCTCGTCAATCTGAACTGCCTGCCTCTGGGTGAGCAGTGCAATTCCTTACCCACTAGGTCACTAGAGTTCCCATGAGGTGTCAATAAAATTCTACTTGCTCAGAATGGCTTTTTCTCAGTCCTCTTCTACTTTAAATCACATTAACACCTTCATGAAATATTTCCTCTTCTTTTCAGAGTACTTATTAGCAGTTGTAAAGGACACTTTTTCTGTTAATTCTCATCTTCCTTATAACATAAAAGTGGCTCTCTACCTGACGTCTATGCCAGTTATGAGGTCCATGCATGACTGTGGCTTTATTTTTTAGGGGAGAGAAGAGATAATGTGCGTAAAACCTTACTGCTAGATGTACAATGTTATGGTACACAATATGCGGATATTACGAGCATCAAGATGTTCAAGTTTATGATTTCCTTTCAGATAAAAGGCAGTGGCCATATACTAT